TATTATTATTTTTATTTATTTATTTATTTTTATGTCCAAAGAACCAGTTTAGATTTTTCTACCTGGATTATTGAGCATGCATCAGGATACTTTGTAAAATATTTACTTTTTTAAATGCTAGGCTTGTTTGCTGTTTCGGTTGTGTCTATAAACGCCCCCAGGGCTGATCACAGATTTGTTTTTCAGTGTCCTACATAAACTGATCTGCTTCTAGACAGCAGCATTTAAAGTGCAGACTTTCAGGTACCTCTTTATACAAGTCAGACAGTCAAATTCTGTACTTAATGCATTAAATTTTTCTCCAAAAGGATGCAGATTTATATAAACTTTCTGGAATTAAGAACTTTTGGAGTTGGCAAACAAAACCTTCTTCTTTTATCAATGACAATAAAGTCTTTGTAGTTTATGCCTCAATAGTTAGAGGCTTGAAGCTGGATTCATCAAACTCTCAAGAACTGGACACAATTTATGGGGGCCGAGATGGTGTAGAGGCAGGGCAGCCAGCTTGGGACCCAAAAGTCCCAGGTTCGATCCCCAGTCACTGCATACCGCGTGGTGTTTCAGGGCAGCACACCCCATTCCCAAAAACGCTCCCTGGGCGCTCTCAATAGCTGCCCACTGCACCACCTGGTGGTGGATGGGTTACATGCAGAAACTAATTTTGCCATTGTATGGAAACATACTGTGATGACCCAACATTTTTCTGTCAGGTTATCTGGACAGTTTCTTTTTTTGTGCTGAAACGTTTCACCTTCGATCCAGAAGGCTTCATCAGTCAAGGAAACACACAACAAAACTGATTCTTCCCCCAACAGCTTACTCCAAAGTGGAACAAACCAGTTCTGCTTGTGATCAGATGGTCTCTTTGGTACGCCCCCTTCTCCGTTGCCGGCCCTCTTCTTTGTTGACAGTCTTGTCAAACTGGTTGAAAACAACAAAGTCCATGCTCAATAATCCAGGTATACAATCCAACATTTTTCAGTCAGGTCATCTTCTGGATTGAAGGCGAAACGTTTCAGCACAAAAAAAAGAAACTGTCCAGATGACCCGACTGAAAAATGTTGGATTGTATACTTGGAATCATTGAGCATGGACTTTGATACTGTGATGACATTATAATTTTTAACGATTATTCATTTTACCCAAATTAGTGTCTTTTAAATAACCTGGTACAGCTGTGTTCTTTAATGACAAAAATAAAATAAACACGTTAATGGGAAATTTGGCTAATTTCATTCTCTGATGCTGCAAACATTGCTTTTTTTTAGTATATATCGATAAAAAAAAAAAAAAAAGCATTATTGGGACGTCAGACTATTTTACATCAATAGTTTACGTAGATCACAACATAAATCAGCAAGCCTTAAGAAGCATAACATCAATCTTTCTTAATAAATCAATATAATCTTTAGCTGCAGCTTTCATAAACATCCTCATAAGTTTCTGTTTCAGAATACGTCCTCATGAAATATTATCCATCAAAGAAACAATCTGATGTCCAGAATATTCATTCTGCACTGATTTTGTCTTTGTTCCAAATTTATATTCATTTTTTTTGTCAAGGAACAGGAAGTTTGGTTTATTACACTCTTCTCCTTTAGAAGTCCTCACTTTCTTTGATTTTATCTGTGACACATTTTTTATTGGAAAGACATTCAGAAAAGAGAAAGAGATAAAAATGGAAACTTTTTTTTTTAAGAAGTGAATACAAAGTCCTTACAGGTAAAAATTCACAAAGCCCTCTTTGTTTTATGAGCTTTTGAGCGATGGGTGGAATGGATTGTGTCTGCGTCGTTATCTTAAACAGAAAGGGAGTCAGGTCTTCGTAACCTTGAACACTTTTTTCTTCTAAAATGGAGAAATTCACCCAACAATTTGGCCTTTCATCACCGATCCAGCAGATAAAATAATCCCAGATAATTAACACTGCAAACATAATATGCACAATATAAAAGATGATAAATAATAAGAAATACGAACAAACAGGAGCAATATGTGAAAGTTTAGCAGTTAAAATAATTTTCTATTTGAGGACAGTCCCTGGAAACTATTTGTTTATTCAAACTTTTTGCTCCACAGTCTCATGTTTTTTTTTTTCCAACTTTAGTGTTTTGACAGTTTTTTTCAAATGTAGTTAAATTATGAAAATGTACTTCTGGGTGAAAAAAAGAATCTAAAATGCAGTGAGGCTTCTTCAGCTCAGACTGTTGTAGGCTGGGCTCAGCTCCAAGAATGTTCAGAGGGTGAGTCACTGTCTCCACAACAACCACAGAGGGACGAACTCAAGCATATTTGACGTCATTTACAGGAAGTGGTCGTGATGACTCCCACCCTGTCTTCACACACGTGCGCGCACACACAGCAGTGTTACACACCTCTTTCTTCACCGAGTTTCCTTTTTTTTTTTTTAACAATCATCTCCCAGTTTGACTGAACATATCTAATAATAGCTTGACATTTAAAATAGTAGAAACCGTGAAAAGTCTTAAGTGTATGTCTCAATAATGGCAGGTGAGGATATAATATAGAAAGATTTGCACGTGTTTTTAAGGTGCTGGGGGTTTTTTTTTTTATAAAAAAATTTTCAATACGTTAAAAAAGGCACTTTTTAACAGCAGGGTTCCCCTAGCAATTAAAGTATTTCTAATAACAAAAACATGACCATATCAAATATGAAACCAAAGCTGTTCGCCAGGGCAAAATGTTTTTAGTTTATTTTAGAGAGAAAATAAAAATATTCCTTCAAATTCTTCCATCAACCAGTTTGTGCTTACAGCCAGAACCAGTATTCACATGTAAAAGGACCATCTGCCCAACAATGATCGTAAGAGCTCTGTTATTCACCGGGGGATGAATGATACTATTGATATGCTTACATACATGTTCTTGATGAGAGAGGAACACTGAATTGAGAGAGAAGTAAAAGAAGCCATCTTAAAACGGGTGGGGGTCTCCTTATTCAACTATCACACCTACTATCCTGATGCATGCCAAACCACCACCTTCCAACATCAGTAGAGAGGAGAGGGATGCACTCACCACTCTTAGCAAGGACAAAAACATCATCATTCTCCCAGCAGACAAAGGAAGGTGCACAGTGATTTTGAACCAGAAAGACTATCATGAGAAAGTTATGACACTCCTTAGTGACTTAACCACTTATGAACCTCTGAAAAGAGATCCAGGAAGTGGTTACAAGAAGAAGTTAATAGATTGCCCGAAAAATTTGGAGCAGAACAAAGCTATTGACCGTATTCTGTACCACAGACTGTACCCAGGGGAGGCCACACCTAGTCTGTATGGTTTACCTAAAATCCACAAACAAGGTGTACCTTTAAGACCTATTG